AAAAAAAAAAAACGTAATTTATTTATTTATTTTTTTCTTTCGTAAAAATAATAATAATAATTCATCCGAGTTTTAACTCACAAAAATATTAAATTACTTTTATTATTATTATTATTATTATTTTGAATCACTATTCAGAAAAATTAGAGAGAAAGAGAGGATTAACGTAACAAAAAAAAAAAAATGGAACTCTTAAACATCACGGGTTATGAAGAAATTCAAGTTTTCCCCCTTTCTCCCCCTTTTCCTTCCTCCCCCCCCCCGAGAAATTTTGAACCTTTTAGTCTTTCGCACGTTGATAAATTATCATAATTAGTATTAACGCATTGGTAATTAGCATTTAATTGCAACGAAACAAACGACGCGGGAAAAAAAAAAAAAAAAAAAAAAAAAAAAAACAGGAAATGAAAGCTTTGTTTACTATTATTATTATTATTATTGTTTAAATATCAAACGATTTTGAAAAAAATTTGACAGAGTTAAAGGTTGACGATGTTTCCCGAGGGACCTTTTTTCCATTTATTCCTTCCCTCCTCTCCTACCCTCCCCACCTTTCCACAACACTTTTAGCCACAACGCAAAACCTTTCCTACGATGACTAAAAACCCAGACTATGCTCGCCACAATTTTTTTTCTCTCTCTCTCTGTCTCGTAAATTGATTCCTTTTAATTTTTTTTTTTTTCCTTTTTTCCTTTTGCATTTCATACGTGGGTTTCCATTGAATTTAGACGCATTTATCGACTTTATCGATTGAAATTTAATGTCGGAATATAACAATTAATTAATTAATTAACTTATTTCTCATCGAGTTCGATATTATTCGCGGAAATTATTAATTAAATAAAAGATTTTTACCGCGTGTGTGATGTCGTTATCATCACAAAGTAATTATTATTATTATCATTCCTCAGAAGAAAAAAAAAAAAACTGCGTATAATATTTCAATTAAGATAATAATAAAAAAATAATAATAATAATAACGTTGATCGTTTTTTAATTGGATTTTTTCCTGCGGAGAAATGAAAGAGTTTTAGTCGAATTCGTTAATAAAATTAAACGTAAAAGTCATTCTACGTTCGAGAAAAAAAAAAAAAGAAACAATAATAATAATGATAATTTAAAAGTGACACCGAGGTTTACTACGAAAAACAAAAAAGATTCTAAATCTCTTTAATTTAAAATACGTCAATCGTGATTACAATGATGAATTGGTCTTTGAAAACAAACGTTTTTTTCCGTCACTTCCGGGGGGAAGTACCCCCGGAGCGAAACAACCAAACGTTGTTGAAAATAAACTCTCGTGGCAGTTGATTTGTTAACACAAAATAATAATAATAATATAATGGTGGTAATAAGACGAATTTGTCAACCAAAAACAAATGTCCCAACAACAACGACAACGACAATTCGGTACATCGTACAAAAAATAAAAAATAAAATCATTTCTAGAATGTTCGAATCAAAAAAATTCGAATTTATCGTAAATTTATTTTGTCGATCTTTAAATTTATGTTTAAAAAAAAAAATCTAAAAGGCGATAAATTTTTCCGAGGGGCGGGAAGGGAAGGAGGGAAACAACAAATGAAAAAGAAAAAAGAAGAAGAATTTACCGAAATTGTGTGGAGTAAATCAAATTATTTTTTTTTTTTTGGGGGGAGGGAAATCGAACTTAAACTTAATTTCAAACTTAAGTTAATGAAAAGTAAGTAAGTGAGTAAGTAAGTAAGTAAGTAAGTGTCTGGTATGTTCTACATCGAAACTATAAAGAAAAAAAAATTATTATTATTATTATTATTATTATTACTATTTCTTCGAATTTGAGCGAATTTTTTAAAGGAAATACGCATTATAGAAGAAATGCTCTGGCTTAAAAATAATCAAAAATTAGAATTTTGATTGTAGTAATTACCGAATTTTTTTTAAATGTCTGTGAAACAGTAACAACAACAACAACAACCAAACCAAAGCAAACGATGAGAAAAAAAAAAAAAATGAAAAACAGGTTTTTATATTTTTTTTTTTTTTTTTTTTAAATTTTTTCATTTCTTTGTTATGCGGTAAGATGATACACCTTTAACCGGATTAAACGTCGTGATGTACTCCATAAATAATATTTTTTATTTTTTTCATTTTTCACTTTTTCATTTAAAAAAAAAAAAAAACAACCTTCGTCACATGAGTGTTTCGTTTGAAGGAAAATCAAAAAATGACACGCGAACAAACGAACAAACGTACAAACGGAAGTATTACAAAAAACAATGACAATTCACTTAATAATAATAATAATAATAATAATAAATCATTACATTCCCATGATCGGTTGACGAATATTTTCATTACAACATAAATAATTAAATCCCTAATTATTATTTTTACGTCGTCACGATAAAAAACAAACAACAATTTTCAAACAAACGAAACAAAACAATAACAATAAATTCTCACGTTTAATTTTAAATTATGTTATTAACTAACAATTACTAAAGATACAAAACAATCGGAAATACGATCGAACGAACGATGATTAATTATATTTTATTACTATTTTAATTTACGTGGTAGCAAAAAAATTTTTTTTTACAGCAAATCAAGTCAAAAATCGAGTAATAATAATAATAATAATAATTGAAAAATTTACCTTTTTAAATCACGTAAAAAAAAAAAAAAAAAAAATTCAAAGAACGGAAATTGTAACGACCTGACAAACAACCACGATCGAAATATATATATATTATTCGTATTAGATTGTAAATCGACAACAACGACAACAACAACAACAACAACAACAACGACAACGACAATGTCGAAATTTACTACTTAGAAAATAATATTTTTGTCACGATAACAAAAATTATATTCGATTCAGCTATTTAATAATAAATTCATCGAATACATACATACATAAATACATGTATAAATAAAATAACAATACTTAAAAATTGCTTAATAATGAAAAATCAAATATTTTTTTTTTTTTTTTAATTTTAATTTTAAGAAAAAATTTTTTTTATGTTTTAAGCAAACAAAAAAAACAAACTTTTTATTTTTGAATAATATTACTAATAATTATTATTATTATTATTTTTCAAATATTGTAATTATTATTATTATTTTTAACACACAACCTTTGATACTAAATAATAACGATTGAATTTTTTTTTTTTTTTTTATCTTTTATAATATTTATATTTATATTATTATAATTTTTAGAGTTCGTGACATTTCATAATTATTTTCAAACACACAACAAAAGCCACCACCACCACGTGTTTATTCATTCGCGTTTCAACGTTTGAATAATAAATTATTATTATTATTGTTATTGAAATAAATTTTTTTTTTTTTTTTGCATTTCCTTTTATCATGTTAATTTTTTTTTACCCCCCCCCTCTCCCTCTCCCCCTTCCTTCCTTCCCTCTTTTCAAAGATTATTTTATTTTTGCACAAAGAAAGATTATAGTTGAAAAAAAATTATACTATCACATATTAGTTTTAAAAAAAAGTTTTTTTTTTTCGAGTTAGATTAACATGTAAAAAAAAAAAAATTTTTTGTGAAATGAAAAGAAACATCGAGTAGTTAAAGTGATATTGTTACTTTTAAAATCCATTAAAACAAAATAAAACAAATATATATAAGATAAACAATATTAATAAAGTTAAAAATTTTATTAAGACAGCTGGAAGTAATAAAAAAATATATTATGACTACCTGCTGCTGCTTGTCATTAAAAATAAAAATAAAAAAATAAAAACCGATAATAAAAAAATATGTATCTCATTTAAGAAAACGAATAATGTTTTCTGGTCTCCCCCCATAGCAAAGCATATAATTATACAACTAATTAATAATATTTAATCCAAAACAAAAAAAACATGTGTGTGTGTGTGTATGATTAAATGAAACAAAAGAACAAAAATAATTTATCCACAGTAAATAATAAAGTAAAAAAATTTTTTTGTATGCAACAAATGAATGTTTTATAGAAAAAATTTTAACTCAACAAAAAATTATAATGAAGCTTTTTTTTTCTTTTTTGCTTAAAACAAAAAAAATTTAATGTATAATAAAGTTGAGAGGTTTTTTTAAGAAAATGCACTCAAAAAAAATTAATTTAAAAAAATAATCAAAAAAACTGTTTAAACTGTAATTAAATCAATTGAAATATTTATCTTACCTGTTTACATTATAAAATCCTTTTTTCAACTAATCGTACAGGAATCATAAAACAAACTATGATTTTAACAAACATGGCCGGACTTGTTAATCGTTATTGTGAATTCAATTAACGTTATTTTTGTAAACGGCAATTATTATATGGGTCAACTGTCAGGCGTCTATTAAATAAGGTGGCCATTTTGTTTCACTTACAAACTTCACTTTATATTCAATAAAAGTATATTAATAATAAATCTTTTGTAATATGTTTCCGGCCCACGATTTTTTTTCCCCCCTCTTTATTTTACAAAAGTTTTCATTATTTTATTTACAATAATAATTAATATAACAAATAAAAATTAATTTTATAAATAATTACGTAATCCTACGAAAAATAATAACATAAACTAAAATCCACTTGAAGAAAAACTCACTGCAAATTTAATAGGTGCGCACGGCAAAGAGTTAAAAGCGATGTTGCCATTTTTCAAAACATATTTAAAATTTAAAATAACCGTTAAAAATTCCATCGTGGAACGTATTTTTTTCAAAGAAAATCTTGATTTAATAATTTTTTAATTGTATTGTAATTGAAAATATTTTTTAAGTTCTTTAACAATTCATTTTTTATTGTGCTATTTAAAAATTTGTTCTCCATATACACAAAATTTGATTGATTGGTAAATTTTATTCAGCGGCCGGCAAATTGAATTAATTTGAATTTTTGCATATCAAAATTGCTTTTACTAACAAAATTAAAATTAATTAAGATTTTAATTTAAAAATTTCACGGTTGTTTCAATAATATTTTCAACAAATTTTACCATAGACATAATTACAAAAATGACCTTCTCAAGGTTCTTGCCTCTATGCGTTACAGTGTCATGGCGTCAGTTTTTCTGTTAAATCGAACTGTAGTTAAATTAAAAAAATTTTCTAAGTTGTTTAGAAATCTTGAACTCAACCAATGGTGTGTTAACTGCAAAATTAATAGATCCATTTATACAGCTTCTCCTGCAAATAACTCTATTAAATCAGTAAGGCTAATTAATTCATTTAGTTACTTAACTGATAACTCAGTTTTAAAAAGGGTACGATGAGAAATAACTATTACTACAAGACATAAGTAGTTTTTTTTTTTAATTTTTTAAGTTTTCTTTTTTTAAACGAATATAAAATAATGTCATGATTTCATCTACCTGATTTTTTTTTGTATTACAGTATATCTTCACTTCTTCAGTATTTTGTAAGCTCTCAACTCCAAAAAACGAATCATCTGACCCAAAAAAGCATGGCTCTTTTACGGGAAGAAATTCGCCTCCTAAGAGAGATTGTTTTCATCCAGGAGTCTCATCTTTGGCTCGAGAAAAAATATATTTTCCTCAGGCTACGAAAGTTACTGGTTTGGACATGATCAATGCAATGATGTCGTATATTTGGCCAAAGGTGGGCTCTATCTGAATTTCGATCTTTTTTTTTTTTGCCAAAATATTATAATGTTAAATTTTTTTGTTTTACAGAATGATGCACAAATCAGAAAAAGAGTTACAATTGCATTAGGTTTATTGGTGGGTTCTAAAGTTTTAAACGTTTCTGTACCTTTTTTTTTTAAATGTGCCATTGATGGGCTGAATACTGGTCTTAACATGAATTCACCAGAAGAAGCTCTTTTAACTGCTGCAGTTTCACTCATGATTGGATGTGTGTAGAGTGTAAAAAACATTTATCTCAAATAATAAATGTATACTATGAAAAGAAATAATGCTTGATTAATTTTTAATAATTTTTTTTTTAGACGGTATTGCTCGAGCTGGAGCTGTCGGATTCAGTGAACTAAAAAATGCTGTTTTCGCAAAAGTTGCTCAGCATTCGATTAGAAAAATTGCTAAAAATGTATTTCTTCATCTACACTCTTTAGATTTATCTTTTCATTTATCAAGACAAACAGGCGCTTTGTCAAAAGTAAGAAATCTTTTTTTTTTTTTTTTTTTTTCAAATTGATTAAATTAAAATAAATATCATATAATTAGGCTAATCGATTCGAGTAATCTGAACTTTTATTGTAATGTTAATTAGAAAATAGGCTTCATTGTATTTGCTGATAAAAACAAATATTTTGATAACTAGCCATGGCAATTATTAAAATCTCTTTAATTTAATTTTTGACTAGAGTTAATATTTAAATTAAATTTAAAACTTGTCTCCATATTTTTCAGGCTATAGACAGAGGGAGTAGGGGTATTAATTTCGCTTTAAATTCAATGGTATTTAATGTGGTGCCAACTGTAATCGAACTCATCTTAGTATGTTCTATATTGGTGAGTTTATTATTCAGTTAATTCAAAAATTTAAATCAACTGATTTTAAATATAATTAATTCATTTGTTTATTATTTAAGGGTTGGCGTTTCGGGCCAGAGTTTGCAACGGTTGCTTTGTCATGTGTCGGAGTTTATGCTGCTTATACTCTCGGAATAACACAATGGCGGACGAAATTTAGGGTATACATGAATCAAGCAGAAAATGATGCCGGAAACAAAGCTATTGATTCTTTGATAAATTACGAAACGGTCAAGGTAGTTAAAAAATTTTATTTATCAAACAATTTTTGTTTTTTTTGTAAAGAATCGTTAGTGTTTTTTTTTTTTTTTTTTTATTTCCAGTATTTTAATAACGAAAAATTTGAAGCCGATCGATACGACAGTGCTTTAAAAAAATACGAAACGGCGAGTTTAAAAACGTCAACAAGTTTGGCTTTACTTAATGTCGGACAAAATGGAATTTTTAGCGTGGCTCTAAGTGTAATTATGATTCTTGCTGCAAAAGAAATAGTCAAAGGTATTTTTTTTTTATTTTAAAAAGGGACGTACATTAAATGCTATTAAAATCTTGTTTTTTTTTTTTTTTAAATGTATTCAAATCAATTATTTATTTAGGAAACATGACAGTCGGGGATTTGGTCATGGTCAATGGTTTATTATTTCAATTATCAGTACCATTGGCATTTTTAGGATCAGTTTACAGAGAAGTCAGACAAGCTTTAATAGATATGCAAACCATGTTTTTGCTTATGACCATGGATCCACATATCAAGGTACGTTGATAACATAAATATTTAAAAAATTTTATTTAGAAAACTAAAAGACTGATGTTTGCAAAGAAGAATTATATTTAATGGCGTCCGAGAGCCCGTCATTTTATAAATAATTCATTTATTATTATCATTATTATTTTTTTAATTTTAATAGAATAAATCTGGAGCTCCGCTATTGAAAATATCTCCAGAAACAGCATCTATCGAATTTCGTAACGTCTTCTTTCAATACGAAGAAGGAAAACCAATTTTGCAAAATTTATCGTTTGTGATTCCTCCTGGTAAAAAAGTTGCCATCGTCGGCGGTTCAGGCTCAGGGTAGGTTTAATAATAATATCGATGTTTTTTTTTTTTTTTTTTTTTCGTTTAGTACAAGAAAATATCGTAATAAATCACTTATTAAATTGAACAGGAAATCATCGATAATACGACTTCTGTATCGATTTTTCGAACCGGATTCCGGTGAAATATTAATCAACGGGCAAAATATCAAAGACGTGGAATTAGAATCTCTGCGAAAAAATATTGCGATCGTACCACAGGATAGCGTACTCTTTCACGATTCGATTTATTATAATTTACATTACGGTAATTTAAATAAAACTCGAGAAGAAGTTTTCAAAGCTTCCTCTCTGGCCGATTTGCACTCAACCGTTTTGCAATGGCCTAAAGGTTACGACACGCCGGTGAGTTATCATATACTGAACAATTTAAAATTTCGTTTGATATTTTTAAAATGTCGATTCGGAAAACATTATTATTATAATAATAATAAACGATTAATGTTTCTCACTCTTAGGTGGGAGAAAGGGGATTAAAATTATCCGGCGGTGAAAAACAAAGGGTCGCCATTGCCAGAGCAGTACTAAAAGATTCACCAATATTAATTTTCGACGAAGCCACGTCAAGTTTGGATTCGATTACAGAAAGAGTATAAATATTTTTTTTTTTTTTGTCTAGATTTTATTTTTTATTTTTCCCTTAAACGAACAAACGTTTGTTTGTTTTTAGAACATATTGGACGCATTGAAAAGAGCAACGGAAAATAAAACGTCAATTTGCATCGCTCATCGTTTGTCGACCGTTCTCGATGCATCGGAAATTCTCGTTTTAGATAAAGGAAAAATTGTCGAGAGCGGAAATCATTACAATTTACTCTCTTCTAAAAACAGTCTGTATTCAGAACTTTGGGAAAAACAACAATTTGGAATACCTTCACCGGCAGCATGAATATAAACATCATATGGGAGTCTCCTAGAGTATAATTAATTAAAAAATGATGAATTTTTTAATTTTCAGTAATCTACGTTTTACTACAGTTTTTATTATTATTTTTTTTTTAAACGGTTTAACAGAAAAACAACAATATAATTGTATATTTTCTAAAAAAAAAAAAAAAAAAAATCTAATCACATTGTAAATAAAATTATATTATATATTGATAATATTTATTGCTTAATAAATTATATAGCTTTAATTAAATAATATTAATATTTTGTTTGTGAAAAAAAAAATTAATAAATATGTATATGTTACGAAAAAAAAATGGATGGCAACAACTATAGTTGAAAATTAAAATAAATTTTTAACTTAAACGCATCCATTTCCGGTTTTATAAATTTTACCAAGTAACGTATACATAAAAAAATATGATTTAATTTTATGGGGAGTAAATTTTAAAAATTTTGTGATACATTTTTCCTTTTAAAGGAAAAACTTTATTTAATACTGTCTGTAATTAAAATTTTAATAGGCATAAATTTATTTTTATTAATTTAAATAATTAATAGATTTTTATTTGTTTAAAAAAAAAATTAATTGTTTGTGAATCGTGTTTAAAAAAAAAAAAATTGTGTATATATATTATCATAGAATTTATTTATAAATAATAATTTTTTTTTTTTTTACATTGGCAATAAGTTTACAAATCCAAATACATGACTCTTGTGGCTGTTACAGCACCGCAAAAAGCTAAAACGGAAGCAGCACTTACAACAGCTGTCGTCGTACCTGTCCAACTAACAATTTCTCCCATACCCAGTGCTAAAGTAAATTGAGCCAAGAAAACCATGCTGCTGACAATTCCAACATCAGTTCCCAATCCTCTTTGCCTGCTATTATGTTTAACTTCGCCATCTTTAGTAAGTTCAAACTATTTTTACAAAAAAAAAAAAAATTAATTTATCGATCGAACATTTAAAAAAAAAAAAAAAATATTAATAATGATAATATTGATAACAAACCACTCCGTTCGAATGATAATGAGCGACCAATAAATAAGGTAATGTAAACAATGTTGAATACATAACACCGGCTGTCCATGAAAATAAAATGACACCAATTTTATCTTTGGTAACGGCCATCAAGAACATACCAAATGAATAAAATAAAAGACCTCCGACGTAAACTTTTTTAGCTCTAATCAAATCAATAAAATAAAATAAAAAATTTCATTTCAGAAAATTAAAAGAAGAAAACAAAAAAAAAGAAAAAAATGGCAGAACTTACTTAAACCTTTTTATAAGTCCTTCGATGATTAAAGAATAACAAGAACATGATAATGAATACATGCTCATTCCCCAACAACCGAATCTAACACCTTCTTCGTACAATTTATATTCTTGAGAATCTTGAGGAGCCTACAAAAGAAAAAAATTTATTTAATTGTGGTAAAGAAAGAAGATGGCGAAGACGTTTATTTACCAATGGATTCCCGTTGAAAACAGCTTCACCGACAAAATCCGTAAAATATAAAGAATAACAAACGTGTGACATCCAACAAAATAAATTTGTCAAACAAATCATCTTCAGGGATTTCGGCATGAAAACGATCGATAAAAGATATTCTTTCAAAGATGGAATTTCCAAATTCGACGATGAATCTACCACCTGCGACAGGTAATAATGATAATAAAATTTTTAATTCGGCTGGAAAAAAAAAACAAAAATTCCCGTATTATCATTATTACTTTTCCAACATCATCCGTGATAATTTGTTCCAGTTGATCATTTACTCCAGGACCATGACCACGTGATTCTTCCACGTCCAAATAAGAATCTTTTATTGTGCCATACGTTAATACTTCTACGTCAGATATTTTTAAACCTTCTTGTGTTTTGACTTCGGCAAGCTGTCAAACAATCATCATCATCATCATCATCAAACAAACGTAAGTTTAAATAACAATCAAATAAATAAAAATAAAACCTTTTTTAAATGTTTCTTCTTTTGTTCTTGAAGAAAATTCAATGGTATTTCTTTAAATGACGTCACAGTACAAGAAATACATATTATAAAAAGAAATGTGATAAATGTAAAAACCGTTCGGATGTGACCTCCTAAATATTTTCCTTTAAAAAAAAAAAAAAAAATCAAATCAATTTATTAGTCGAAGGGGAAAACAACGGAAAATTCTAGAAAAAAAAAAAAAAAATTTAATTTAACGTTCGTTACCATCAATTTAATTAAATCTCATCAAAGTTTTTTAATACGACAGCCAACAGCTTTCGTATAAAATTTTTTTCTTTTTCCTTTTTTTCTCATTTAAATTTTATTACTTATTATTATTATTAACATTTAATTTAAAAAATAAATAAAATTACCGATGGCTGTGACGTCCCAATTAACTCCACCCAATGCGTAACCAAAAAATCCACCCAAACCTGCCATGACGGTAAATGTGCTTAAACCTCTCGCGTGATCTTCTATTTAACAAAAATAATTTATAATAATAATAATAATTTTTTTTTCTAGAAAGAAGAAGAATTTTAACTTACGCGGTAAGGAAACGTCTAATAAATAAGCTCTAGCAGGACTCTGACAGGAATCAGCATCAAAATCTAACAAAACGGTACCCAAAACGGTGAAAAAGATACCCCAAGGGTGAGAATATTGTTGATTCGAATATGAATTTTCCGGTTTTGTCACTTCTTTTGACGATAATATATTTTTTATAGGGTATTGAGTACGATTAGTCAAATTCGAATAGAAATCGAAATCTCCCAATGCGAGACCGAAATCTTCACCGTTCGGTACCAATATTAAACCTTTTGGACAAAGGAAAAAGGGTAAGTTCGTTAATATATATCAATTTTGAATCGTGAAATGACAAACTCACCCATGAGTACACCCAATGCTAATAATAATATAAAAGGCCGCCTTCTTCCCATCGATAACCTGCTTCCGTCACTTAACGAACCTAAAATCGGAGTGATGAGAAAACCCAAAATCGGACTTAGGGCCCATACCATAGTCATATGTTCATGTTGGACACCTATTTTTAAAAGGATAGGTGACACGAATGCCGTTTCGGCAGCATAACTAAATTCGATACCCATAACGGCAGCGCTTATTCTTATCAGTTCGCTCGTTGTCTTTTTCCTAAAAAATAAATCATAGGTGATAACGATACCGCAACTCCGCCATATTTATTATTATCATTAATTACCTGTATATGTGATCGTATTCGTCCAACGTTTTGTCTTCGTCCATCTTTTGTTTTGGTTTTATCATGTTCAAAGCGATATCGCGAACACTTTTCGGATGTTCTTCTCTCCATTGTTTTATCCTTTCTCTTGCTTTATCTCTAACGTCGTGTAATCGACCGTACAAACCCCCCTCATATTTATAAAGTTTGTCGACCATTTTCTTTTTTTTTCTTCCCCTTCAAACGAAAAAAATTTTTTTAAATTTAAACACGTGACATAATAATCCTCGATTATGTAAGTTTTTCCTTCATGTATTATCGATTGATTTTTTATTTATTTATTTATTTATTTATTTTTACGTTAATGAATTGTTATAAACAATTAATAATTGTTTAAAGAAAAAAAAAACTGGAGTGTATTATTTATTAAAAAAAAATTTTAAGTTTTTTTATTTAAAACGAAATTTAATTTTTTTAATTTTTTTTCTCGAGTGATAAGAAACATTACTGATAACAATCCAGTTTTTTGTTAATTTATTTAAATTGTTTATAAAATTAATTAACGTGAGAGTTAAACAAAAAATGATTACGCGTGCGTTTGTGCGTTTTTTATTAAAAAACGTGTTTAATAAAAAATACGTACTTACTTACTTTCGAAATTTATTTTTTTATTAAACGGTTAATAAAAATTAATTAATTAATAATAACCGTAATAAATACATAACTTTTTTTTTTAATAAAATGCGTGTGTGTGTGTGTTGTTTCCGCGGCGAATAATAAAAAAAAAAAATTTCTTTTGTTCTTTACCGAAAAAAACGGATGTCATCGTTTATACCGCGCAAACTCATAAAAACTTTTTTTTTAAATTTTATTTTATTTTATTTCTTCGTAAATATAAATTTATTTTAAACTCATTTAAATTTATCTATCGATAAATAAATAAATAAATAAATTTATTTATTTATTTATTTAAAAAAAATTCGATTTAAAAAAATTTTTTTTTTGTTATTAATAATATGAAAAAGTTTACATTTTTAAAAAAATAATTATTTATTAATAACTAATTAAATTTTTTTCGCGCTTATTTTTAACAAAAAAATAAATAAATAGTTTCGTCTGCTTTTTATTTATTTATTTAAAATTAAATAAAATGGATTTTATTTATTGTTTGGGTATTAAATTTTCGCGACACGAATAAAATCCATGTAAATTTAAATTTATCGCCTTTTTTTACTATTATTATTATTATTTTTTATACGATCCGTTTAACGATGGATAAATAAAAAAGGGCTTAAATAAATAAATAAATAAATAAATATTATTAAATAAAATAAATTATTAAAAATAAATTAAATAAACTCACGTGTTAATAATCGTGTCTCAATCGGTATGTTTTCATTTCGATAAATAATAATTTATATTGTAAAAATAAAAATTTCGCAAAAAAATTAATCAACCCTCCCCTCGAGGGGTTGAAATTGTGAAATAACTTCCCCCCACTCCACCCCACCCCCACGTGACAAATATGTACGCAATGTTATTATTTTAGTTTTTCAAGGTTTTTAAAATTTTTATTACATAAAAAAAAAATTATCGGAATCTTTTTGATTCCGATTTATTTATTTATTAACTATTGAAACTCGTCGTTATTTATTTATTAATAAATAAGTGTTAGTAAATAGCATATAAATTTTTAATAAATTTTAAAAATTTATTTCGTGTACCTGAACTCACCTTTTCAGGTGTGAATTGTGTGGGTGTGAAAAAAAAAGGATTTTTTTTTTATCACAAATTATTTATATCAATAAAATTATTATTAAGGAAAATGTCAAATAATAATAATAATAATAATAATAATAACGTTTCCGTTGATGATTAACAATAATAATAATAATAATAAATTACCGGATACTTGAAAATTTGTAACACTTATTAACTGGTCACATCTGTTGAGAATTCGAAATGAAAGGGGTTGATGAAAAATGGTAGAACGCACTCGAAGACCCGTAATGACATCGAGGGTATTGTTCAGAAAGTTCAGCAGAAGAAAAAAAACAAGGAAAGAACCCCTTCAACCACACCGACAAACCGGATATCAATAAAAAATCCGTGGAAAATTCTGGAAAAATTGTGTTAATTAATTGAAGTATTCGCACCGATGGAAACAAGGTTAAAATACAGGAGGAGGAGGAGGAGGGATTTGAAACCGGAAATTGTTTGGATAACAGGAAATGGTAATGATTCCGGTGATGGTGAATGCATTCGTGCTGGAAATCACTCAAGAAGAATTTTAAAATGGAATTTTTGATTTGTGCCTCATACGCCTTACATTTCATCAAATTCTGGAATCTGGAATCTGGAGAAAGTTTACTGGAAAACATCCGATCATAAAAAAAAAGAAAACTACCGAATTTGTTTTAAATATTAAAAATAATAATAATACTTTTTGGTACAAATTGTTACATAATACTTTTACGGTTACACTTATTATTATTATTATTATTATTGCTTTATTTAAATTATCAAATTACGTAATTAATGTAAAGTAAGAGGATTCACTCATTCATTCATTCACTCATTCATTCATTCGGACAACGACAAATTTTCTATATCTTTGGCAGGTGGTTGTTGTATGTGAAATGGAATAACGGTCGATGGGAAAAGTGTCGAGGGGCAAAAAGGACCAAAAATCGGAGGTCCTCCTGGTATGTAGGGAGGAGGGGGAGGTATGAGACCGTGTCTTTGAGCTATTTTCAATCTCGAAGTCAATTGTTTCTTCCATTTTGTCCGTCGATTCTGAAACCACGTTTTTATTTGTACTTCCGTTAAATTGAGAGCTTTTGACAATTCCATACGTTTACTCACGCTTAAATATTTGTCGATCTAGAAAAAAAAAATTTTTTTTTATCGTTCGCACACCAATCATTAAATAATAGTAATAATAATAATAATAATAATAATAATAATAATGATGATGATAATAATAATTTTACTTTAAATTCCGATTCCAATCTTTCTAATTGTTTTGCACTGTAGGCTTGCCTTGGTTTTCTATCGATTCCCGGTTTTCTAGATCTTCTTCCCGTCGGTTTTGGTGCTTTTAAAATCAATGAAAAAATTATTATTATTATTTTAAATTTTTCAATAGCATTTCTAAGGTTTTGGAATGTTTTTTTCCCCTCCCCCCCCAAAAAAAAAAAAAG